CCCCCAGAATATAGGGCTTCCCCATGGGGGGATGGGGGGGGGGGGCGACCATTGGCCAATGGGAACCATTGGCCTCCATGGTCAATCAGCAGCGAGGGGCGGGGCTACCACAGAAAGGCCACCTCCCTCCCTGGCTCAGAACACTGCTCCTTGTGGATGTGCACTGCTCTACCTCTAGGCACAGTCAATAGAAATGCAAGGACAAATGATTGACGTATATTTCCACCAAGGAACTGAAAACAGGACTTTTCACTGTCCATTCTTCATTTAGAAATGGACAGGAGCCAAGGGGTTTAAAAACAGGATGGGCTGGTATAAGGCAGGACCAATGGTCACCCTACTTACATTAAAAAAATAAACAAACCCCTTCAGCATAACATATGCTGTTTTTCTGATGAAATAAGACCCTGACAAGGCCTGCTTGAAAAGACTACCAGTGTGTGTCTACAGAGTATTCTCATGTCCTCTATTTCTATTAGCAGCCCATAGCAAGAGAGACATTTTGCCTTTGTAAAACAAACAGCAGTATGTCAATTTGAAAGCATCTGTTGGCCTTGAGCCTGTTCGGGTTTGCCTCTGCACAGAGTGGCTTCATTACATGACTAGACAAAAGATTATCAGTGAGACAGTAAGGAAACCAAGCAGCTTACTTTTCAGCTACCATCCCCACAAAAGTGGAAAGTTTAAAAAAAAAGTTACCACAATTAAATTTAGAAATGGAACCAGAAAGCTTCACATTTTCTCAACTAAAAAATATGTCTGCAGAGATAATTTAAACAAGAGTCCTTTAATAAATTATGAATAAGTAAATGGAACTAAAAACGTAGCAAAAACAGAAGGTAATGCTCCCTGAGGAAGTAGTATACTTTAGTAAGGCAGCCAAATTAGACAGCTATAGCTATATAGGGGCAAAAAAAGCTTAATAGAGATATAATTTCTTAATTCAGATTTTTTAAAATAAAACTGGCACTCTATATTATCATTAATAACTATTTACAATACTGTCTAGTGGCACCTACTGTGCTACATGCCATGTATACGGACGGTAAGAGACAATCTGATCCTAATACTCTGCAATGTAGTGGACAAAATACAGGTTGAGAAGACGGAAGAAGGGAGAAAAGGAAATATTACTATGTCCATTTAAACTGAGAAAGCTGAAGCACAGAGAGAGTAAAGTGCTAACAACTTGTGCATATGCTTGACTTGAAACGTGAAGAATTGTATATGAGAACTGCATTAAAGTGAACAGGACAATGTAGATGATCAAAGCTCAGTGTGGGTTTATAAGAGCATCTATGGGGCTTATATCACAGCTCTTCAGTAAAGTCTCCATAAATTAAATATTTAAATGCATTTCTAAACTGTACATTTTAAAGTTTATATTATAATTAATATTTTAAGTCTTTACTCCTTATCCCAAACCAAGACCTAAATTTACTGACAAAGGCATTCAAAGGAATGCTGTAGAATGAAATTTGGTTCAAAATCTAAAATATAATTATCAGCTGGAGTTGACAGCATATAAACCAGTCATCTGTGACCATTAATTTTTTCAAAATTCCAGTGAAAGCAGAGTGTTCTAAATAAACAAGGATTTCTTAGGGTGATATATTTTATTGGACCAATTGCATAGTTGGGATAAAGTTAGACAAACTTACAAATGCAAGACACTCTCCATCAGGTCTGTGTTGTGCTAACTTATACTTCTCTGACCTGATGAAGAGTGTTGCATTTGAAAGCTCTATCTCAAGCAAAAAGCTGGTCCAATAAAAGATATCACCATGAGAAATCCTTGCCTCACATAATTTATGGACCATCACAGGTACTAAACAACAATTCAAAACAATATTTTACTAACACAAGGATGAGTAAATGAAATTGACTAGAAACTGACTAAATAGTAGTTAGCTAAACTAATCTATTTTTACTGTTTAGTCTAAGAGGTCAACTGAAAAGTAAACTAACAGGGGAAAACAACTTGGTTTTTTTTAAGCCTTCACTTTAAGTTTCCTTAGTTAATAATATTTAAATAAATCTTTACCAAATAAAAGTTATGTTTAACCTGAGACTGTCCCTTTAAAGACACTAAATGATTCTAGTAAAGAATTCTTATTTAATAAAGAGGTATAGACCAGGTTAGGAACTCAAGAATGGACTTTCTGGGTCCTCAAGTGCATTCACATTCTATCACAGGTAACTAACTCACACTTCATAAAATGCACTGAACTCCACCTTATAATCACCTAAGTTTTTCTGTACTACTTGTTTCTGGGTTCCAGAACCTCACTCCCCTGTTGGTTGGAAACATTCTCATTTTTCCAGACTGAATTTATTCCTAGCTACTTTATATACACGACATCCATGTTCAGGTGCTGGGTTACAAGAGGCAGGTAGGAAATAGTTTATCCTGATTAATAAACCACAAAAAAATTACAGCAATAACTACACAATCCCTTTTTCTATCAAATCCCGTGCACACACAGTTCAGGAGAGTGTTACAAATTCAGAATGCATTGTTTTTCATGGCATAAGATAAAAGAGGATCAATCTTCCCCATTTACAACAGTCATTCTCTTTAGATCAGAAACTGTTGGTCCCTAAAACATTCAGGAGTCTGTATTTTTGATCCCTGCAGTCCCAAGTCTCTGAAATGCCCTTTCAAGCTACAAAAGTATTTTTCTCTTTCAAACCATGAACAGACTTTTCCTATCCAAAGATCTGGGGGCAGCACTGCAATTATGTGTTCTTAGCACTTCAAAAACATAATTAAAATTCTAAAAGTTGTAACCAAGGGCAAATGGAAGCTGAAATCATGTCCAGGTTTTAAAATTCAACCTCAGTGCATCCCATAAATTAAATGTATCATTAAATATTCAAAGATGGAAGCAAGCCTTACCTTTTTGGCATTTACAACCTAAAACACATTTTTCTTTCAACACCTTGTCAACATTAAAGAACACGTCAAAATGTGGTTTCTTTTTGTTACTTTGTGTAGTTTGTTCCAACACATTTATTACTTTGTGTCAAGAAAGGTTATCTTCCTGGTTCTTTCTAAATTTGAATAGGCATCACTGGAGGTTTTATGGCACAAAGTTTGTTATAATTTGTTAAGGCACTGATACAGTCTTCCTATAATCAACATACATGTTTAATTTTTTAAGTGAACACAGAAGTAAATTTCTGTAATCTCTCTTTGTACCTATAGTCTCTTTGTTTAACTGCCTTAATACCCTCATTTATCCTTTTCCAATTCTTTGATGTAAAGATAACATGCAAAATACTGCAAAGAGCCTTAGGATGGACGTCACTAACATCACAGTTGGCCAGCTGGCAGGGTGGCTATTGGATAGTCATTGCAAAGATAATCAGAAGAGCAGATACTCTGACTGTCTCTGAGACTTGCCAAACTGGCTGGGGTCATTAGGGCCAGGTACAGACATTACATTTTTACTGGTATAAGTGATCAGAAACTGATCTATACCAGTAAAAGAACAGAAGTTCAGTGTGCACAGACTAGTTTAAAAATGGTCTAAGATTTGCTGCCTCCCTGTACCTCCCCCACCCACCAAAGGATGAATTTGTGTTTTGTTCACTACTGACCTAAACTACGTTGCTTACAAAACTGCATAACTTAGATCAAATCTGCCTCAGGCTATTTGAATGTCTGTACTTATCCTTAATGTAATGTGTGGTTGTGCCACATTAGTACACCTGTACATGTACCATGGACAAGGGATATAACAATAAAGCAAATAAAATATAGTTTCTTACTTGTTTCTTTGAAAATATTAAGAATTGGAAAAAATCTTTTTTTTGGCGATGTCACTTTCCTGTTGTTCCCCTAGCACAAATAGCAGCTAAGATAGTTAATGCAATCAAAGAAACATTTTTCATTAATTTTAAAAGAAAATGCATTAAGATCTCAACCAAGCTATTCCGCATAATAAACTGGCCTTCTGCCATGTTATTTTGTAGGTCCTTGACTCACTAGTAGCTGAAAGCCTGGCTATTTTAAGGCTGGAAAGGTGAATGTGTAACTCAAGCATTCCATACCCCATTCACCACTTGAAACAATGACATTCTGCCTGTATCTCAGGCTACAACAGACACTATAAACAATCAATAATGTATCAGGTAGGAGGAGGCCATGTAACATCATTAACAAATGCTCAACAACAAAAAAGAAGTTAGCTGCATTAGTCTGAAGCCAGGCAGACAGTAGGGTAGGGTGGCACCTTAGAGATTTACTTGTTCTGAAGCCTATGTGCTCTCATAAGAATAGCCTACTTTTTTTTTTTTGACAAAGCATCTGATGAAGTAGGCTGTCACCTACAAGAGCTTATGCCTCTCTGAATAAGTTAGCTGCTAAAATGCCATTCTGCCCTGCCTGCTGTTTTAAGACCAGATAAATCTACACACTTACCATGTAGAGAGGACTGTAAATCATTCATGTTTTGGTCTAAGAGCTGCGAGGGAAGGAAGCCTGAAGGTGCTGCTGCTGCTGATGGAGCGGTCTCCATTTCTCCAACTGAGGAGTTTGTGGTGGGATCAGTGAGTGGGTCCTGTCCAAAGACAGCTGTCCACTCTTTGCTGAATTCTCCCTCATCCAAGGAGGTAGCATTGAGGATCTCATTTAGCAATACCATATCATCTTTTTCACCAGAATCCAGCTCGGGGGAGTTTGAAGCTATTTTAAAACAAAATGGGGGACACAACTAATGATAATTACTAGACATAAATTAACATTGGGATAAACAAATGCAGGACAGATGGGAAATAAATGAAAAACCCTTGATCCAACTCTAAAATATTCAGTCATATTCAGTTTGTATACTCTTCCTCTGGATTTCTGTGGTTTCCCATTTTCAGTCCTACTTTCAGTGAATCCCTGGGGTTGACGCTTACACAACAGGCTATTTTTTTACTAGCTTCAGATAGTATCAGCTGTGCTGGGATTTCTCCCCTTTTAAAATGTAGCATGAGTAAACTTAAAGAAACAATGTCACAATAAATCAAAACACTGCCTACTACTTGGCTTAATAAAAGTTTTAGGAGGCTGCCATTCAGTTGCTATCTTGCTCCTTGTTACACAGGCTCTAAAAGGAACGATTTACCCTTGATTTAAATCAGGCTAGCACAAACTACAAATAAAAGCTACCGTTGCAAAGTTCAATGATATAATAAGTGTTTGCTTCGGTTAAACTTTTTGATCCACTGATGAACAAATTAAGTATTTGGGAGTCTCGAAGAGAATACATTCTTTTATGCACTGGATGGCATTTCCTAACACCCAGCACTGGCAAAGTTCTTCTCCCACTGAAGTCAATGTTAAAACTCCCATTAATTTCAGGGGAAACACAGTTAAGCTATTGACAAGTACTTCTGAAACGCCCACTTCATTTCTTTCCTAAAGTGTGGGAACTGTGGTTAAAGCAACTACTAGATTATTTACAAGTTTAAGGTAAATCTGAAAAAACCCTATATATATATATATATATATATATATATGCAAGTCCCAATCAGAATCCAAAACGTTGAGTTTACATCACAGTACAAAAATACAAGTAACTACTATTATTTTATTCTTTTCTATGAATCATTAAACATTACGACGAGAGACTGCTGATGAGGAAAACAGTGGTTTACAAGTCTGATATTGTCACACTGCTTGAAACTGAACTTTATCTCAATTATACTCATCTGAAATGTGGTAAAGCATGATGGGCAGCTTTTGCTTTGCAAAGCTTCAAGCAACCAGCTAGGCCTGCTCTCTCTGCTTGCATGCAGCATGCAAGAGAGACTTTTAATATTTTGGGCATAAAGAAAAACCATAAGAACAGACAGGAATCCCTTGAAACAAAATTATTGCAGGAGCAATAGAACATTTTATTTAAAAACAACTGCTTGCCTAGATATGCTTCTCTCAATGACCACAACAATTTGCAATGGAATAATTCAGGTTTAGTGACAGGAGAGAAAAGAAACAGAACTGAGTTTTAAAGAGGCTCACGAGTGGATAGAATATAAACGCCTACATACTCTGATAAAATAAGAACCAGCCTGAATGTTTATCCAATAGTAAAGAGAGATCTGAGGTTGAACATGCAAAGTTACCTTTTCCTTTGCTTCTGTACTCCCAAGCTAGGGCCAAAAATAGAGATATTACTAAAAACCTTATTCTTCTTGTATTCCTACCAGACATTATCAAAAGCATCATCTAGACATTATCAAAAGGATCACTCCAGACCCCTTCACCATTTTCATGAGATTTTCATCCCACCTTTCTAATCTCATATTGCTTTTAGCCAATCTCAGAGGAATGACTAAAAACATTAGGACACCTTTCATTAGACCACCTAAATAGTTGGAAAAAAGTCCTTTACAAGCTTTTGGGCACAAACACCCTTCTTCAGGCACTGGGAGACTACCAGCTGGAGTCTCCCAGTGCCTGAAGAAGGGTGTTTGTGCCTAAAAGCTTGCAAAGAACGTTTTTCCAACTATTTAGTTGGTCTAATAAAAGATATCAAATCTACCCAAAAAACCTGTCCTTAGACCAACATGGCTACAATCATCACCCCTAAAAACATTAACACCTTCTAAACTCCTAGAAGTTCATCCAATATTTCTCTATTTATTCACCTATTCATAATGTACTTGTGACTATGAGATGATAGTTGCTATACCTTACTTAAGAATTTCTAAGGCATTATCACTCCAATCTGTCAGCAATGACATACATTCTCAGTGTTTCAGTGGGAAATATTTCACTTTCATGAAGTTTAAAGACTAGCAGGGGAAGATAAAGGGAGGAAATGTGTTAATGTGTTAAGAGTGCTGTTAGTAGTGATAATGTGGCACCTCACCACAAATTATATTTACCCACAACAGGAAAAGGTTTGCAGCAGTACAGCTCAGATCAAAACTGCTAGACAGGCAATTCTTATGTATGTGTGCGTAAGTGCATCAAACCACACTATGCTTGCTTTTAATGAATATATTACTATATTCATATTTACATCTAAAAATTATATCACTTTTTTTGCTATCAACTTCTTCAGAAAATGATTGAAATGTCATACTACTTTATGATCTGTAAGAAGCCTTTTGTTTTTCTTGTAAGGCATTTTATATTGTATTTGTTTGAATATTTCTTTAGAAATACTTTACTCCACTGAGAATTTAAACTAATCCAAAACAAAATTAGAGAGAAGACAGAAAGTGTTTCAGAAAAATTGACTCAGCACCACAGAAAAGAGTGTTAGGCCCTGTACAAAAAACCTTCAGTACACCCTCCCTTAGATGACTGAAGTTTGTCTTTTACCAGTAGAGTTTATTCCCATAAAATCCAGGGAATAAGCATTAGCAGCATAAACATCTTCCTGTTGCTTTAACTGTCTCTCTGCTGATTGGTATTCTAAATATTTGAGTAAAAAAAAGCCCATATCTGAATTAGTTTAAACTGGCCCGCAAATGTGTGTAGAGCAGGCTTCACTTGTGTCTCCAGTAGGAGAGTTCAACATGAGATATGGTTGGGTGAGTGAAAATGAGAGAGAAAAAAAAGGCCACTATAGCTATGAAAATATTTAATATTAAACCACATAACAAAACTTCATTACTGTACAGGAGAGTTTTGGGCCATGTATTACACATATGTGTTTCTCTGTGGCACTGGAAAATATATTTCCGCAGCATGCAAGAGGGAGCTCTTGGTGTAGCTACTACATTTTCATAAATGCTGCAAAAAACTTTCGTCACTCTGACTGTTGAGGTCTTTCCTAATGGGAATGGAGGGAGAAGATGGGTGGCCCTTATATTCTAAAACAGGCCATTTGGGAAACAACTGTGAGAAATCCTCATGCCTTTGAGCTGTTCCTAATCTAACGAGAACAAAGGATGCAGTGACTAGAGTTAGATTACTGTTCTCCTTTACACATAGAAAACATAGCTATTTGAATTAACTAAGACAACGAAAGAAATACATGACTCCTTCAAGTTTTTAACAAGACCCAAATGACTTCTGCTCTTCATCTGCCCCACTTCAGATATAAAAGCTGTAGGGCCCACTGGACTACCACTAGCAATCCCTACGATGGTGATAAGGGCTCACAGAGGAAAAAAAAGACGAAAACCAATTATTTAAAAAGTTATAGGTTGGGCTAGAATGACAGCGAAACATACTTCAATGGCTCAAATATGATGTACTGTAGTAACCGTTCCTGCCTACATAATTCTGAGCTGCATGTTGCTACTAAAAAAAAAAAATCATGCTTTATGTCAAAGAAACTGAAGTACAGTAAATCCTCTTACAGCCAGTAGGTTTACATTTTAGTTCAATATCAGATTTATTGTCCACAGAGTATGTAAATGGTGCTGGTTTTCTTTAGTACAAGTTAAGTATTGTAGGTGGATGATCTTATTTAGAAGCCCAGTCAACTTTCAGAGTATTAAAGCAACTAAAATATAGGATTAAAATTATATTTGATGTCTATTTTTGAAAAATAGATAATACACACACATCTCATACCATTTTCTTCAGGTTTCAGATCTAGCAAATCATCGATGGTACCTAGTGGTTTAAAAAGAAGAATTATTGGCGCACTTACCCCTTATAAGATCAATACCTATACACTGTAACATAGTTTTCATTAGTCCTGTTTACCTGAGTTTTCTCTATGATTAAAATTTTCTCCCAGCGTAGTCAGGATGTCTTTGCTGTCTTCAGCTGTAACCAAAACAAGGAAAACAAATCAAACCAAGTTCAAGACAGAAATAAGTTCATGAAGTAGTAATACAAGATCAGCGTGTAGCAAGTAGTACAGCGTACAGTAGAATAGTGGTTAAAATGTGCTAGATCACAACTGGGCAAAAATAGGAACTAAAATTTCTGAAAAGCAAGCTACATTGCAGAGGGGTACACACCATTACTACTTTCTGGAGTGAAAGCCCCTGCAATTGGCTGCTTGCTGAGGTTGCCCACCTCCTGGGAAGAACAGCTAAATATAGCTACTGCAGGAATCAAGCAGAACTCTCTCCCCTTCTTTTTGGAGCCTACCCTCATTTCAGGGTGATGCTGCTCTCTCTTCTCCTTGCAACACTGGTTCTGGGAAGAGAGAGGGAACCCCACGGCCCTGGGCAAGTAGGAAAAGAACCCCACAAGTTCCAAGAAAGAGTGGAGTCAGGAGAAGGGACCAAAATTAATTACTAAGTAGTGAGACAGACAGAGGTGACAGATTTGCAATTACTGTCAGCCCTGGGTAGCAGTTATAGAAGGGTTTTGTCTTCAGCTTCTTCCATACAGAATTTCAAAAGTAACTTTATCAGCTACATGTTGAAAATCTCAGTGCACTTGCTTTTTTCCTTTTCTTTTTAAAGAGGAGCTAACCACCATGTGAATAATCAGACAATGCTCCCCACCAAGCAATACCTTTGGTCAGTGCTACAACAGAGCACAGCATCAGAAATAATTTTAAAAAAAGGTTTTCATTCTTATTTTTTTAATTCTTCCACAAGTATAATCTAATCCCATTGGAATCGGTGGTCATCTTTCCACTGGACATTGTACTGGTCCCAAGTACATCTTAATGCTCCCCAAAATTCAGGTGAACAACTAACCTTTATCAGAAAATGTCATGCACAACACCTGACCAGCTGCGACACAAAAAACAGTGCTCTCATCTTCAAAGCATTTCCCCTTCCTCTGTGTCCCCCAAACTCCCTGCCAAGCACTAGACAGCAATCAATATCTTGAAATATGTGATTGTTCCATTAACACTTAAGTCTTTACATATTTAAACCAGGAAATCCGGAAGTCAAGTAGGATGGTCTCCCGGTAATTGTCTTCTGCCTATAAAAATGTTAATACTAATAGCCATTACCAACTTTCAATCCTATCAAAAGCCATCCCCAAAGTGTACTGGCACTAAGGCACCCTGGGGTACAACAGAAGGCCTGTGTGTCAGGTCTTACTGCTAAATCACTGCAATTTAATTTTTAAAATATTTTCTGTTCTTAAACAGTTGGGTTAAAATGCTTTGACACATTCAAGTTTTTTAATTAAAAAAACAAAGAGCAGATCCTTGTTTTATCCTACTTTTATGTGCTCTGCATCTATATGGAAGTGCAAGGTGAAAGTGATCATTCATCCAAACAAAACAATATCTGTACTACATTAAAGATACCACTTTGAGTTATGGATAACTCAAAACTGCAGGATCCTGAAGGCATATAAATCAATACACTAAACAGCCAAGCCCGGAAGAAGGCCTAGTAAGTACTGTTACTGAATTTACAGTAACAAACCAGAGAACAGGATGAGTTACCATACTGTTCCAATTCTAGGTTGACCCAATGTATAAGTTGACCAATTTTTAAGTTACTTTTTGAAGGAAAAGGTCAACTTATTATCAAAACAATACTAAGTCAGCTGTTTAAATTAATGGAAAAAAGCCTATGATGTTATGGGTGGAGGGGTGTTTGATCTAAGAGATTTTTGCTACAGGATTCAAGAAACCAGCAATCAAATTATATTTTTTTAAGTTATAGATGATTGTTTTCTAAATCTGGAAGGTGCTACACACAACTGAAGGTAGCTACATTTTGGACCTCAGTATAATGGATAAGAATGAGAATGGAAACTCTGCAAACTAAGAGAACTGGTCAGTCAGGCAATCAGACTCATACCACCCCCACCCCCCCCAAAGGGAGTATATGAGGAATGGTCATCGCTCAAAACATAATCCTTGAAGCACAGGGCAAGAAATGCAGCCAATGGGCAAGGAATCTCCCATGGCTGAATAAGAAACTGCTGGACCTCATTAAGCTCAAAAGAATAGCCTACACCAGCTGGAAAACAGGAAGTATTACCAAAGAAGATTACTCTGCACTCCCCCGCACCTGCAGAATGTGACTGAGAAAAGCCAAGGCACAAACTGAACTTAGGCTACCTACAGGGATCAAAGACAACAAAAAATCCTTCTTCAGATAAGTGGGAAGTAGAAAAAAGAACAAGGATAGCATTGGGCCCCTGAGAGATCCAATGGGGCAACTGACATCAGATGCCCAAAAAAGGGCCAATCTCCTAAATTACATTTTTGCATTGGTTTTTCATCCTCCCAGGAGGATCACATTGCCAGGAACGGCACAAATCAATTCAGGATCCCAAAATTGATGTGGCTCAAGTGAGGGAACACCTTGAGAACCTGGACATTCACAAGTCCGCGGGCCCAGATGGATGCACCCAAGGGTCTTGAAAGAGCTGGCAGACATCATTGTATCCCTCTTAGCAAGGATATTTGAAAGATCGTGGCACTCAGGCAAGGTCCCGGATGACTGGAAAAGAGCCAATGTGATCCCTGTCTAAAAGAAACTATGACTGATGACTCAGGGAACTATAGACCAATCAGTCTGACATCCATCCCTAGAAAAATCCTGGAGAAAATTGTCAAGAGATCCATCAAGGCCAAACTAACGGAAGGCAAGCTTCTGAATGCCAGCCAATGTGGCTTTGTGACTGGCAGGTCCTGCCTGACCAACCTCATCTCCTATGACCAGGTAACATATGCCCTGGACAAAGGAGAAGATGTGGACATCATATATCTGGACTTCAAGAAGGCCTTTGACCTAGTTCCCCATGATGTCCTCATGGTTAAGCTGGGGAACTGTGGCCTTGATCATCACATAGTCCAACGGCTAGGCAACTGGCTATGGGGTCGGACCCAAAGAGTACTAGGTGAAGGGAACAAATCAATGTGGCACAGGGTGACCAGTGGAATCCCTTAGGGCTCAGTACTCGGGCAAGTACTCTTTAGCATTTCCATCAATGATCTAGATTTGGGAATCAGATGTGAACTGGTCAAGTTCGCGGATGATACCAAATTATGGCGGAGGACCGTCACGCTGCAGGACAGGCTGGAAATACAGGCCGACTTGGACACACTCTCAAGGTGGGCTGACCAAAACTCTATGGCCTTCACTGCAGAGAAGTGCAAGGTGCTGCAGCGTGGTAGGAAGAACCCTCAGCATACTTAGAGGCTCAGCAGTGCTACGCTCACTAGCACCATGGCCGAAAGGGACTTGGGGGTCTTGACTGGCCACAAGATGAACATGAGCCACCAATGTGATGCAGTGGCAGGCAAAGCTAACTGAACTCTGGCATGCATCCCCCGATGCATCTCAAACAAAACCAGGGAAGTCATCCTCCCACTTTACTCGGCCCTGGTGAGATTGCAGCTGGAATACTGCATCCAGTATTGGGCCCCCCACTTCAGGAAGGATGTGGAGAAGCTTGAGAGAGTCCAGAGAAGAGCCAGTCATATGATCCAAGGCCTGAAGGAAAGGCCGTATGAGGAGAGGCTGAGGGACTTGGGACTTCAGTCTGGAGAAGAGAAGGCTCAGGAGGACTTGGTGGCAGCCTACAACTTCATAAGAGGGGTACATCAGGACCTGGGAGAACACCTGTTGACCAGAGCTCCCCAAGGGATGATAGGGTCGGGGGGGGATAAACTCCAGGAAGGCCGATTTAGACTGGATATAAGAAAAAAGTTCTTTATGGTGCATGTGTCCAGGGTCTGGAACAGACTTCCCCCAGAGGGTGTGCAAGCGCCTCCCCTGGACTCTTTCAAAAAAATGCTAGACTTATTTCTTGCTAGCTTTCACCTGATCCCAGCTGACTTCCTGCCTATGGCGGGGGGGATGGACCCGATGATCTCATGAGGTCCTTTCCAGCCCCTAATGTCTATGAAATCTATGAAATTCGTAGATAGGCATGTGCACACGCACACGCACGCACGCACACACACACACACACACACACACACACTTCTTCAAAAAGGCTAATTTCCCAAAGCTAAGAAGTATTATGAGCAAAACCAAAAAACTAATTGGGAAGAAATTTTTTTAAAAAATGAATCACAACTGGAAAATCTTTAACAGCCATGGCCATAAAACTGTGAGTCCACAATCAGGGAAGAGGATATTTTTTCATTAAAAGCCTTTCATTATTTCTTGGCAAAAGGCAGGCAGCAACTAGAAATACCCCTCCCTCACCCCAATAATATCACAAATGGAAAAAAGAAGGACAAATAGCAACTGAAATAAAATAGAATTTTTGAAGTGCAGAAACTTAATAATGGAGACCAAAGACAGAAAAATCCATGACTAGTGGAAATAGGGACCAAAAAAAGCAGTTAGAAACAAGAGATCTCCCAAGCTTATTCCTAGGCTGAGATGATAAAATTCTTCATAATGATGAAGAAATGGCAGAAGCATTCAGTAAATATTTTTGCTCTGTATTAGAAAGACGTAGGATGACAAACTTGTATCAGACAAGGAAATTACTTCCCAGGTCATTAGTAACCAAGTGGATGGTAGATTACATCTATTAGGAACAAAACCCAGGCCAGGATAACTTGTACCCAAGAGTGCTACAAGACTCAACTGAGGATCTCTCTACCCAGTTGCTGCTATTTTTAAATAAATATTGAAATACCAAACCCATTTCAGAACACTGAAAGAGTACAAATGTTATGTCAACATCCAAAATGTTTAAGGGAATGACCTGGGAAAAACAGGCTAGTTAGGCTGTTATCTGTCTTGGGCAAAATGGAAAACATGATGTGGAATTCAGTAAATAAAAGACAGTAGTATAATTTATGCCGGGTACCATGGCTTTATGAAAAACATGTCTTATCCAATCTTCAATCTTTCATAAAATGTAAATGATTACTTGATACGTTCAACCACATAGATATACTAGATTTTTGTAAGGTATTTTACTTAGCAGTACATGGAATTCGGATTAGCAGAAACTAGCAGTGTATAATAACGTACGTACGGAACAAATGAAAAACCTTGTAACCGAAAGAAATCAAGGAGTAGATGTTGGCAGGGAACCACTGTCAAATTGGAACATCTGTTAAGGTTCTATACGGCCACCCAATGCTATTCAATATTATCATTGAGGAACAGGAAGTAACACAAAATCACTGGTAATGAAAGTTGTAGATGACTCAAGAGTGGTAAACGACCCTGAGAACAGGTTAATCATACAGAACAATCTGGGCCTAGAGTGTTTTTAATATAATAGCTGGATTTAAAATTACATGTCTAGGGGCAAGGAATTCAGGTCATACCAAGGATAGGTACAGACATTTAGGGAGGTTAGATCAAGCTAAAAATCACCACCCAATCTAAGGTAAGTTGGAATGGGGAGTGGCTAGCAGGGATTGTAGGGGACAAGTGGGGGTCCAGGGGGGGAGTCAGG